GATCAATAACCAGCCACTGAGGGTCAATGGGAAAGAATAGAAGGACACTGAGAGCAAGAAGGAAGGGAATTAAGAGAGAAGAATCTGGGCCCTCAAACAAGCAAGTCTATTAATTTGGATGTAGAGTGCAAATGCTGGGATGCACATAGGAATGGAGGCTGGGAGACAGCTGTGCAACCTGGAAAGTTCCAGTGCAGAGTGACAGCGATGTCCACGCCCATGGGAACAAAGAAGCTGCTCCCAGTTCAGCAATGTGCTGCTGGGAGCAGATGCCGGTGCCTGAGCAGCCTTCCTCCAGCTCGGAGCTTCAAAGGCACGAGCTGTGCTCCCCATGTTTGCCCAAGTATTTGAGGATCAGGGAGGCATTCAGCCTCATTAACCTTTCAGTGGTATGGAAACTGCAGAGCAAAAGGACAGCTGGAATTCTTCCTCCTGTACACACTGACCTAGGGCACATTCATCTGAACACGCTGGGGTGTGGAGCCATGGTGAGTGCTGACATTCTGAGGAACTGCTCAGGATAGAACATGGACCTGCTGGAGCGGGCCCAAGAAGGTCATGGAAAAGATCAGAGGGCTGGACCACCTGTCCTACAGGCTGAGAGAGCAGGAGTTGCTCAGCTCAGGGAAGAGAAGGCTCCAGGGAGACCTTATAGCAACTTCAGCTTGAACGGGCTCCAAGAAAGCTGGAGAGGGACTTTTGACACAGGCATTGAGTGGTGGGACAAAGGGGAAAGGTTTCAAACTGAAATATTAGATATTAAGAAGGGTTTTTTGCAATGAAACCGGTGAAATACAGGCTGCCCAGAGAGACAGCAGATGCCCCACCCCTGGAAGTGTTCAAGGTCAGGTTGGGTGGGGCTTTGAACAAGCTCATCTATTTCAAGATGTCCCTGCTTACTGCAGGGGATTTTCACTATATCACCTTTAAAGAACCCTTCCAACCCAAACTATTCTATGATACCTCTAAAAAGCGTATTGCTAGGCACTACGTTCTGGCAGTATTTATATTTTTGGCAGGACTATGGTGTTATTGTGAGAATCGAGGAGATCAGGTCTGTGCCTGACCTCACCCTGCCATTGTGCTCCTGCAAGGCTGCCCTCCTCCAACTCCACAGAGGGAATGAGGTGTGCCAGGGCAGAGCCATAAATCCCACTGCAGGAGTCCTGCCTGTGACATGAACTGGGTCACACGTCCAGAGGAGGACGATTCTAACAAGAAGCCCAGTGAGGTGTTGCTATCCAGGAAATACACACAGGACAGAAACACCAGCTCATTTGAAGAGCCATCTCCACTTGTGCTGCACTGTTTGCACGAGCTGAACTGCAAGGGAAAGAGTAATTCAAACAAAACAAGTAGGAATGACTGTAGAAAAATAAATGTGCATCTCTGAACAATTCTGATCTGCCCATTATTTGGGTTGTCAAGATCCAGAATAGATGTGTTGACTCAGCTTTAACAATGTCAAAGTGCAGCCTCCCTGGCCAGGTTCATCTGTCCAAATGTAGGCAAGTCGTGCTCTCTGAGACAACCAGGATATGCTGCCTTGCCTCTGCTGGCCTGTCTGGAAGGGGACAGGTTTATTCTGGGTCCTGGGTCACATCTGCTAGCCCCATGTAGATGTCTAGGGGCCCTAGGGTACCTAGGATGGGCATCAGGTACCTTTGTGTACAGAAGAAAATGGAGAAACTGGAATGCATCCATCCTCCAGGCTCCTTGATCATTAACGAGAGGTGTGTGTGTCTGCAACACCCATCTCTAGGAATCTTCCTTCAGAGGGACATTTCTCTTTCCAGACACTATTAAAATATCATTGAAAATAAACTTGCAATGAAAATAAACTTGAAAACCTGAAGACAGTTCAGTTACTCTCTTCCTTAGTCATGCAAACTTACTCCCATCATTGTCTCAGTTTTGGGTCTTTGTAGACTCAGTTGGAAACAAAGAGCCCAGAAATACCACACCACCAAACTCTGCCTTGCTCTGGGACATTGCTCAGTCCAGCTCAGCCTGGTCCAGGAGCCCTGAGAAGCACTGAAGGGACAAGGAGCAGCAAGGCTGCACAGCACATGGAAAAAGGCTCCCAGAGAGGCAGTGTTCCCAAAACCATTTGCACCAGGGACTGCTCCTCCCTCACCATAAATTTTATGGGGTATGAAATGTCATGAGAAAGGTCTGGTATTGTCTTTTTATCTTATTTTTGTTCACAGCCCCTGAGGGAGCGTTAGCACTTTGCAATTGCTTTTCCCTGTTCTTCTGTCATCTGTGGATATTTCCATGACACACTTGCCCTGAGGCCACCAGACTCAGCTGCCAGCCCTGAGGGCATCTCCACCTGGCTGAACTAATGAGCAATGGAGGGAGGACATTTCCAGAGGACAAGATGCTTGGATTTTACAGGGAAAGGGCGTGCTCAGAAAACTGTAGCATTAGCCCCATTGACAGGTTGAAAATGCTTGCAGAGAGCAGCAGGAAGGCTGGGAAGAGCCTAGGGAGGACAGGCTGAGCTGTGGCCCTGCAGAGGGTGGCCAGCAGGTCTTTGTGGTTGTGCAGTTCTAAATCTTTGGTCCCTTCTATCAGCACCCCAGACCTTGTTTCAGCAGAGACTGTGGTGACATCTGGTCCATGGGCAAGCAGCTACTGATTTATGGCCATTTCCTGCAGGAAGGGGCTGTCACTCTGCCTTCATCTGCATTTGTAAAGACTCTGATGGAATGCACTCAGCAAGCAAGAGACACAGAGCTTTCTTCATGGTGTCAAGAAAGGATGTTTTCCAGATCCAATGAAGCTCCATATTTATGTCTCTGGTTCCTCTGAGGTAAGGAAAATGTGAATCCAAACCCTCACCCTCACAGAGCAAGCTGAGAATGGAACCCAGACCACCTGCATGCCAGGAGAGTGCTCCATGGACTGGTGTGTTATGACAAAAGTGGGTACCATCCCATAACCACTGCAGGTGGAAAACTCAAACCTGCTGCCATGGATAAATTAAGCTCCAAGGATAACTAACAAAACACCTCTGGAGATCCAGCAGCTCAGTAGGCTCAGGAATCCAGATGGGCTGAATTGTGTGGGAGAGATCCAATTTCTTGGGCTACAGAAACAAATACCCTCCCTCCAGAGGGTATTTGTGTTTAGCACAAGGCAGCAGCTGAGCAGAGAGCTGGGGTGCCTGGCAGCACAGTGCTGGACTCATTTCTGCACATCATGCTTCAAGCTCTGAAACCTCATTTAAATCTAGTCCCCAGTTATGGATCTCTTCCAGGTCCTGCCCTTCTGCTTCCTGTGCCGCATAGTGACACATTGGTGCATTCCTTATCCTGCACATTTTCTGTATTCTACGGGAATCCACTACTGATACCAGAAGCAAAAATAAAGCTAACCAAAAATATCTGTCCCAAGAAGTTGGCTTTCTATGTGCAAACATATGGCTGAAATGAGTAAACAGGGAGATCTTCCAGCTGAGTTGTTCTCCTGTGTGTGTGTGTGCACATGTGCTTGTATCTGCATTTTTCCTTGAACTGTTGTCATCTTCACTAAATATTTTACTATGTTCAAAAGCATGTCTGTAAAGGGCTTTCAACAGTAGGGAAGAACACATGGATTTTTCTTCCTCTACTGCACTAAGAATAATTCACTTGTCAGATACCACACTGCTCTCTTGATCAGGTGGTTCTGCAAATAGAGAGAAACCACATCCTATGCGCACAGAGAATCCCTGAGTCACCACTCTGTCTTCTGATCCATCTTCTCCATCTTTGAGCCATGACAAGCTGGGGCCTTGGACTGGCTCTGCTGCTCAAGGATTTATGCTATCAGGCACAGTTGGCAGAATATAAAGAGTAGAGATACAATTAACAAAATATGCTTGGATTACTACAGTCCTTTGACTGCAGTGGGACACAGCAGGAAGCTTTTATTCTGTAGCTGTCTAAAGCTGTGGGAGTTGAATCCTGTCTGCAGAAGTCCACAGACCTGACTTCTGGAGGGAGTAACCTCTCCTGTGATCTTTGAGGCACCAAGTTCCCACAGAGCTGGTGGGGCCAGGCTAACTGGTGTCATGGGGATTGTGTTCCTCAGGACAAACTAAGGGCTACCATAATCCATGCCAAGCAGTACAGCCACACTTCTTGCCTTCCTTGCCATAAATACCCAGAAAGCCAACTCTAGCATGAAGCCTTGAAGTCCCTTCCCACCCTGTGCTCTTCACCAATACCACTGCAGTGCTCACAGCCAGAAAACAGGGGTGATGCTATGGACACATTCCCATTTAGCAGCACTGGTCTCCTGGCTCACACTGGTTGCTCTCATCTTCTGCTCAGCTTCCACTAGGATCAGGGAAACTTGTTCTGTAGATCTCAGTGGGCACTGGATCAGACCCAGTGCACATTCTTGCACAGCAGCTGTTTTTGGCCCCAGGCTGGTTACATGTGGAATGGGCAGCGTGATTTTCCTGTTTTTTAAAGATTACTAATGAAATGTCTGAGCATTACAATAAGTTCAACACAGAAAGTTTACATATAATTTATAACTTGTTCTTTTTCATTCTTGGTGGCGGTAAGTAGCTGGCCATGAATACAAGTTTATTTCCAAGATGTGTCCCAAACCCCTTCTTCTGATGAGTGTCCAGGGTTCAAAAATGTAATTTTAAGCAGAGGAGTGGGATTCCCTTCTGCTGATTTCAGGGTGGGTGAGATGGGGGGGGGGGGGGGGGGGGGGGGGGGTTTGCTCACAGAGAGGGGAAAATCCCAGGGTCTGCTCACCCTTCTTGCATGCTTCCCTGCTTTTCCTCAGGGAGCATGCAGAACACTTCCCAGCCCCACTCCTCCCAGCTCTCCATCACCAGGAGGCTGCTGTGCTCCCATGGCAGCGTGGCCTCTCCGCTGGAGCTCGGGGAGCGCAGCAGCCAATCGGGCAGCCCTCATCAATCTCCCTAAGTGTGTTCAGACTCTGCGAGGAGCATCCTCACCACTCCTCTTCCCTCTCTGCAATGACCTGAACTCAGCTCTGCCAGCAGCGAGCAGTGAGCCATAATGTGATGCAGGGCAGCCCGGAATAATCTGGTTGGCATCCAAGGATGTATATTCACTGAGAGGCTGAGGAGTGTGTCAGCATTTAGTTTCAGTCTAGCTGCACTTTTCCTGCAGCACAGAATCACAAAGTCTCCGTCTCCTCCTCTGGATTGGGATTGATTCTGCACCGGGATCCTCTGAAAAGACAAAGTTTTCCTCTCTTGTTATTGCTGTACCACCACAATCTACCAAGATGTGTGACTGCTTTCATCTAGTTCTTCCTAACTGGCAAGGATCTCCAGCCAGTGGTGGGCTTACGTTTTCTATACTTTTCTGTATTCTGCTTCTGCTTTCCTGTGCTCCGCTCGCTGCGACTCAGCCTCCCCGGCAAACCCTGCAGCTGCTGGGGTGTGGCTTTCTCTGATGCTGCATGAATCAGATAAGGAAAAATAGAGTTAAGAAAAGCCTGTCGTTACCTCCTCTAAACTTTCCTGCACATGTCGAAGCTGTGCTTAAAGAAGCCTTTGACTTTGTAAACGAATTAAATTCAAGCTGTGTCTAAATGACCTCTTTCGGGTTGCATGCCTTAATTCACGAGCTTGCCCTTCATTTCTCAGAGTAGCAGGATTCCTGCATGATCCAATCCACCCGGCATTTACAATGGCTTAAAGCTGTGCTGTGCAGTGTATGTTTGCAAATTCAACGTGTCCTACGCTCTGTATTGGGGCTGTTGGCTGGACAACACGGCACTCTGGAAGAAGGGATTATTTTCCTGGGTTTCCCTGCAGAGCAGGAGGAAATTAGCAATTTTTTTTAATTTTTTTTTTAAGGGGAAAAGATACACATTTTAATATAAAATATTGCAGAAGCAGAACAGTGATGACTGGGGGAACGAGTCTAAAGAGTAGTGCTAAACAGTGCTTAGCTGGCAGAAGAGTATCAATAAATTACAAATCTGCTCTTTAGTTTATGCAGAGATTGACCTGTTTTAAAACAAGCAACTTGTAGTCTTAAAGTCGTGTCTACAAAAATGGTAGGAATCTAAAATTTCTACAGTATATTTTTCTCCCTAAAATATACAAAAACCTATGTTTATCTACATGCTGCAATAAATTTTCTCGCTATTTATTCTGGTAGAAGTTATAGTCTACAAAACACAGTCTGTAAGATTTTGATAGTCTAAAAGTGGAGCACTTTTTTTTTTCTTTAAATGCCTGATTATTTCTGTTTTCTTTTGTAAATAGTTTAGGATTATATTTTCCATAACAATGGAAAGTCAGAAATTGCTTGTCAGACTCTGAGTCCTATTATTGCCTAAGTTGACTTGTTGGAATCAAGGAGACAACTCAAGGAATAACTCATATCTCTCCACCCAACAACAGATACAGTCTGGCTCTCTGCTGGTTACCTGGTGATTAGATAAACCAATTTAAGCACTATAAGGTTATAGCAAATATTTTAGGACTACACTCTGGCCGTATTTAAATATGATTTATTCAAAATATATTTGACATAGTTTTGGTGAAAATATTTTCTTTTATAAATGTGACTATTCCAGTAGTAGCATTTTCCTAATGTTTGTCTGCCTGCACAGATTTACTTGTTTAGTAAACAAACTAGTTTTGTGGTTCTTACTACTCTTTCTGTTTACCACATCAGAGATATTCTTGGGACTTCTAGATACCTAATAGAAACTTAAAATATGCTAGAAATAGAATAGAAATAGAAATAGAAAATATGCTACCTAATAGAAACAAATACAACCAGAACACTAACAGAGCACTCCACCAAACAAGGCTTTTCTCAAAAAAACAAGGCTTTTCTCACTGATTAGCAAAATGTTTGGTGGGATTTTTTTCAGGCTTTTTTTTTGTATAAGAAAACAAAATTCCCCCATGCCATGAACCTGGGTTGTTATTTCCTTGGTACCAGTCTTCTGATGGTGTGAAAGGATGCTGTTGGTGTGTCACATGCCAAAGGAGCATCTCCTGCACAGGGTTGTGCCATGGCAGCAGCCAGCTCCCGGTGCTTGGGAGGTGCCAAGCAGGATCAGGGCTGTGGCACCCACAAAAGATCTGTGCTGGGCAGGGCTGCAGCAGGGAAAGATGGCTGCATGTGAAATTTGACCAGCATCTGCTTTCCAAACAGTTATTGCTGATGTTTCCTGGCAATGGGTTATCACCTCGGAGCTCAGGGTGTGGCAGCTCTGTTTTTCTCAGACAGGTAGGCTGGCTGGCTGCCCAGGCATGTGATATGGGTTTGAGAAAGGAGTATCAGCGTGGTGATGAGGCAGGATCATCTGAGCAAGGGTGGGGAAAACCACGCCATGAATCCCACATCAAGCAGAGCATATTAAATGCCTCGTTTCCTCCACGGCATGGAAGGAAGGCTGGCTAAAAATAGGCTGGTTTTGTAAGCTCCTGTCTCTGCTGGCTATATTCACTGCTCCTGCTTTAGCTGAGTGTCATGATGACACAGGTGAGAAACAGATAAACAAAACTTTGCCAGTTTTCTTTATTAGCCAGGCAAGAACAGGCATGCAGTTGGATCTGACATCTGGAGAGGCTGGGAGCGTTTTGCAGTTGTTGATGAACGTGTTTGTCATGGATAATTTTTGAGTCAGAACAACAAATAAGTAGGAGAAGAGAACATCTCTATCAGCAAACTGTGGCAGTTGGCCAAATCATAAAATATAGAGGTCTTTTTAGCACAAATGTTTTCTAAATCTTTCCTTCACCTTATTTTGGGGCATGATCTAAATCCCCAGAAACTAATGGCTGTAAAAGACACAATTCACTAAAACACTAAAACACTGGAGCAAGTGTGTATGGCCTTCTAATTGCCACCAGATGAAGGGTGAAAATAAAACACCTACCTTAGTCCTTTGCTGAATGGACACCTGGACCACAAGATTGCTGCTTCTCAGGTGCCATGTTGATCTTTGCACTGCATGGGGATGACACACCTGAGATCCTGAGATCAGCTGGAGCTCTAGAAGTCCCTGGCCAGGCACCACTGCAAGCTGTAATATCCAGAAAAACTCTACAAGTACAATGACATCCCTTCTCCTCTGTTCTTGTCTGCCATGCCAAAGGCCATGGTCCATTCTACCATACAAACTGCTGAGTATGGTCCACAAATTTTGAGAATCTAGACAAAAATGCTAGCTCAATTGCACTTTTTCTTAGAAATATTTTCTCAAAATATTTGACTATGATCTGCAACAGCATCTATTCCAGCCCCATCAAGAGACGGATTAGAAAACCTGTAGCAGCCAGACTGCCAGCTTGGGTGAGGAACACCCTCCTGGCTCTCAGGAGAAGCTCTGACCTGACACACCAGCATATTTCATTTTCCCTCCTTTTACTTCATTCAGTGAGTTTATTGTTAAAATGACAAGCTGTTTCAGTTTCAGCAGACACTCATTCTCTGCACAGTAATGCTTCCCAATATCTACTCTTGTTCTACCCATGGTGACACCAAAATAACTGTGGTGCCAGCATGGACTGAAAGGGAATCTGATTCATCTGGCTCTGGGAGAGAGCTCCCTGCCAGCATCATGAATCAGGTTCAGTAAATTGCATCCCTCTGGCTTCTCTCGGTCTTCCCTCCCTCCTGACTCATCTTCTTCCCTCCAGAGTTTATATTTTTAGTTATTAGTTTCACACTTCTATTTCCAATGGGTACAAACGGGCTCGTTGGTGACTTAGGAGCACAAGTGGAAAAGAAACATCGGCATGACAGAGCCCCACAGGCAACAAGGCTTTCTTTGTCCATGCCCTGCCCAGTGAAGGGTTTGCTGTTCTCCATCAAGCTGCAAGAAATGGGGATGGTATGTACCCGCCAGAGGCACAGCACATTGTGTTTGCCACAGCTTCTGATTCATGTGAGGAACGGACATACCCCAGCAGCAAACCAAAACCAGCTGAAAAATGATTTTTCTTTACTGCTGCGTTTCAAAACTTCAAGAAGGAAGATGAACAGACATCTCAAGTCTGCTTTGGTAGTGTGCTCCTCCCTGGGCACCAAAGCGTGATGCATTTTGCCCAGCAGTTTGTGCTGGAAACCATCTGTTTCCATCCAAGGCACTCTGGCTGCAGCAGCCTCTTTTCCAGGGCTCTTGTTACTGTGTGAGAGGTGGAAGAATGTGAAGCAAAGGCCAGGGAGAGCCCCCACGAGCCAGGGCCTCCAGGGCTGCTGCTATTGCTCCTTGCTCTGGCGAGCACTGCCACCACCATAGATAAATTACACCCTTGGTTTGACGTGGGGACTCGCTGCCAAGAAAAACACTCCAACAATCAGCCAGGCTGGGCTTGTCTGTACAGAGGAGTGGCTGCAAAATACTTCTGGATGCAGTTTGCAGCACGCATGGTCAGCCAGTGCCAGTGTCCTGTGCAGATGGATGTCGTGTTTTCCTCGTTTCCGTGTTTCCCATGGCACTGCAACCTTGTCCCAGCCACAATCCCATCCTCAGCACGTCTGTCCTGTAGAGTCTGCCAGTGCAGCCACCATGGGTAACCTGCATGTGTGGGGTGCTTGGGGCTGCATTGCTGAGCAGTGGGATATCCCTATGGGGATTTGGTTGGCAGTGAGGTTGCAGGAGGGTTATTTTGTCCCTGGTCTAACTGAGAGCACACCTTTGGGGATGATGTGGCAGTGCAGGGGTGCAGAGAAGGGATCACAAGGACTTCCTAGAGCCAGTGTTGATATGTAAGAAAAGGCACATGGAGCTGGTATTCTGCATGAGGGAGCTGGCCAGCCCATGCTAGCGTGCATTCACTGTAGGAAATTCAGGGCCCCAAACTCTCAAACACCAAAGGAATAACTATCTCTCAAGGATACACCCCTGCCTTTATAGCAACACAGACAATTACATAACTGTGTCCAGTCATGAGTTTGAAAATGCCAATAAGGTCCAAATTTTTCCAGCCTTATGTCTTTGTACTTATTAGTAGCAGATATTACAACTAAATAGTAGTGTCTGTGTACCAAAACTTGCTGGCATAATATTTTGTGTTGAAGTATCTTCAGGGCCATCAGAGTTGCACAAGTGTAACCTTTCATTCCTGTTTCTGCATTAGTTTGTTCCCCTGCTAACCCTGTCAGCCCCTGTGCTTGCACACAGCCTCGCCATGCAGATAACAGCCAGGTCTGAGGTTGCAGTAATTAGTCGCTGGGCTTCCAGTTTTCTCTCGTACATATCACCATTAGATTTCTATCAGTGTATTTTTCTCTGTCAGAACAGGCTGTACCAAAAAAAAAAAAAAATCTATCTAGTTGTTAGAATTACTGAGGGAGAAATATTAGT